CTGAAATAAAATTGAAAATTCTGAAACACAGACATAATTTGATGCTCTAAATATGGGTTAACTACACAATGTATATAAACTCACACACAGTAATTATAAATTACCACGATGTGCAAAAAAACACAACAAAAACAAAACAAAACAAAACAAACAAACAAAAAACCCAAAATAGACATGGCAGGTGTCTGGATTTCCTGAGCAACACTACACTTTTAAATTAATGGGCGTTTTTTTTTTTTTATACATCCTTAAAATCTAATCTTTAGCAATGTTTTATAACCCCTAATATACTAGATATATGAATATATGTATATATGGATATGTATATGGCCTAGTAGTACTGTTTAGAGAAATGTGTTTTTATGGAAATAACAAATGCAAGAAAAATTGAAAAGGTTACATTTATTCTTTTAAGAAGTACTTTATAATGAGAAATTATTTTACAGAAAAGATGACTGGATTGTTAAACTTTGTACATGTTTTCTTTAAATATGGTTGTTGAGATATATTTAAATTGATAAATGTAACCCACCACATAAACAGACTAAAAGACAATGAACACATGATCATCTATATTTCTTCATAGTAAAAGTCCTGGATAAACTAGGGATACAAGAGATATACCTCAACACAGGTATTTCCAAGGCTATTGTTTCCTCTCCACAAACTGATAGTAACAACCTGTTGCTGAAGAGTGAGTGCCTAACTAGAGCTTTCACCCCTAATGACTAGTGTTCATGGCATAGGAAGTTATTCTGTATACTATCAGAGGAGAAACTAAAACACCCAAACAGCTATAAAACCTGCCTACAACAGTGACTTGCCTGCATGACGGTCTGATGCAATAGTGGCACAAAAGTTGTGGGAGTCACCAACCACTCTTTATTTCAATTTAAGGCCCATTCAGTGGGATGTAATGCATGCCAGGCACTCTTCTGGTGGTCAAGCACCCAAGGCTGTATGTGCCACAGACCTGGGGTAAAGCCAAATACCACTGTTCTGCTAAAGGAACATAACTATTAATTCTATTATACTCATAGACCAGTGTCTTGCTCAGCTACCATCAGATAAACTTCCTCTTGTAGTAGATAACTGGACAGTGTGTGGTGACTAAGAACTTAGAACACTCAGTCCTAAATGGATGTCTCTATCAATTCCCTCCCCCTATGGAACATTGCAGATGAGAAGGCGGACGGATTATAAGAGTAAATAGAGATGCAAGATACCAAGGAAACAAGGTCTTTCAGAAACAACAGGACTGGCAAACAGAAAAACTCACAGAGACTGTGGCAGCAGGCATAACAATAGCACAGGTCCAAGGCAGCAGTGGACATGAACCCTCATCCCTGAACCATAAGCTATCTCCAAGTGACAACTGATCTCAAAGGAAAAAGGAGTCTCACTGGGTACACAAACCGCACTCAAGAGCAGGCCCTGTGCCTAGCAGCAGATGAACTCAATGGTATTTTTGGAGGCTTTCTGTCTTATAATACTTTGTCTGGGAATTTCTTTAACCTTATCTTTTGTTTATATATTATGGTTTCCAATTTTTTTTTTTTGGTGGGACCTCTGTATGAACAAATGTGTTATCTCTGTGTCTGTATACACTTCCTGTGATTTTTGTCTCCTTTTATTTCTGCTTGCTTGTTCTATCCTATTCTATCATTTTTTTCTTGTTGCTGCCTATTTGATTTTCAATGAGAGGGGAGGGATATGGATTTGGGTGAGTAGAGAGGCTCTGGGAGTTGTGGATGAAAACACATGATCAGATTATATTTTATAAAAATATATTTTCAATTAAAAAGAGAAAAAAACATTTCTTAGGGCTGAGTGTGATGGGACAAGAGTATAATCCTAGTTCAAAGTTAACCTGGGCTACACAGTGAGATCTGTGTCAAAATAATAACAAATACACTATTGTAATGCTTATTCTTAACTCTGATTTTTTTTTTACATATGCACACAAGAACCTTCTCATAAACTTATATGTTAAAATAATGGGTCATGGAAAAATTAAAAGGTTTTCATGTGAATTATCTGACAGCCTTTTATGACAATGGCACCAATTTGCATTCCAATGAACCCAGGAATCCAATTTGTATTTTTGTGATTTTTTTTTCCCTATCATACTATATAAACTACTGCAATTTCACAACATCTTGTATATTTAGCCAGGCCACCACATCAAATTGAAGACTTTTGTGCATCAAAATGACAATATGAAGAGTACAAGGACAATCCAGAGAATGAAAGAAAATGTTTGCAAATTACATATCTGATAAAGGTTTTAACATCCATAATATGTAAAGAAAGACATACCGATTTAAAAATGGGCAAAATAATCAAATCAACATTTCTCTAAAGAGAAAAAACAAATGCACAATTAGCATATGAAAAGAAGCTCAATATCATTTGTGAAATATCATTCATTGGAGAATGAACTATCACTTCACATCTACTAAGATGGATACAATGGGAAAAATGATAGGGGATAACAAGTGTTGGCAGGAATATGAAGAAACTGAACGCTATATGTTCCTAGAGGGGACACAAAACGGCACATCTGCTGAGGAAGACCTTTGGCAGTATCTCAAAAAGTTAATAACCCTGCAATAGCTGGCAGTCAACAGAGACCCACAACTGGCCAACATGCAGAGAGTGAAAGACTGCAGAGTGCTCATCTCTGAATGGGACATCTATACTAACCCACTGCCCAAAGGCTCAGCAGTCCTTGTGGAAGAGGGGGTGTGGGGCAAGACTGTGAGAGCCAGTGGCAGTGGATGATGACAAAGAAACAGTGTTCTCTGGATGTCACAGCAGGACATTTGCGCAAGCGAATTCATAGTGCTTGTGACAGAATGACAGACCTGTGCAAGCTCAAGGCAGAGAAAATCCCAGCATGGAGGGAAAGAGGTGGGCCCATTCTGACCCCTGGCTGATGGGTCACTGATATTCAATAGCTTCTGGGAGAAGCAGAATCAGTTTTCTTTAATGATGTGGTCTCAGGTAGGCTGACCAATCTTCAGGGCAGGTCCCACACACAACACAATTTGGGTAACCTAAACTAGACTGGATGGGGTAAGGGAAAAATAGATTGAGAGAAAACATAATGTTGATGTATCAGGGAGGAGTTGGGGGCTGGGTATGAATATGAACAATACATTGAATGAAATGCTCAAAGAATTAATAAAAATGTTATTAAAAGAAAATAAGGTAATAGAACCACCTGACTCAGCAATTCCGTTTCCAGGTATTTCCGCAAGAGAACTGAAAACAGACATTCCAAAGATTCTTTACTACAACTCTTTACATTATTCTCGCTAGACAGAGGTGAGAATAACCCAAGTGTTGAGTTGACATACAACTCATAGTGGAATACTGTCCAGTCATGAAAAGGAATGCATTATGACAAATACTGAAACATATTTGAGCAAAATAGGCAGAGGCAGAGAGAGAGAGAGAGAGAGAGAGAGAGGCAGAGGCAGAGAGAGAGAGAAGAGAGAAGAGAGAGCAGAGAGAGGCAGAGGGACAGAGAGAGAGAGAGAGAGAGAGAGAGAGAGAGAGAGAAAGAGAGAGAGAGAGAGAGAGAGAAGGGAGATGCAGACCTCTGAGTTCCAGGCCAGCCTGGTCTACAGACTGAGTTCCAGGACAGCCAAGGCTACACAGAGAAACCTGTTTTGAAGGACAAACACAAACTACAGAACCCATGATAAACCCATTGGAATACTGACGAAGACAAAGCAGCAGGGCACCAGAAGGATCCAGCAAAAAGTCTTCACTCCAGTTACACCACAGTGATGGTGTTTTAATATACCCTGTGTGCAGGTCTGCAGCAGAAAATCAAAAGGCAAAGAGAATAAATTTTTCTTTTATTTTTGATGCTGGGGTCAAAGGCTAGGGCTTTTGCATGCTCTGTCCTTAAGCAACTCTCCCTGGCTCCAAACAGGGAGATTAGTAATCGATCAGAATGAAAGTGAAAAACTTGAAAAAAAAGACAAAAAACAAAACAAAACAAAAAACAAGCTTTGTGGAAAAGACTGGAAAAGGGGCTTAATTGCCTGCTGGGATACAGTTCTGTGGAGTCAAGTGTGGATTGCAAGGACAACAGTAACTGACCACCACTATTTAGCCAACCAAGGAACAAGCATGATTCTAAGAGCAGGTCTCAGCTCAAAACCAAGTAAAGAGTATTACCAATACTAAAGACCATGGGGAGCTCTATGACTTAAGAGAGGATTGGTGCTGAGGCCTGGAGTGGTTCAGATAGCCACCCTTAGTAGCAAACAGGTTTAGGTCAGAATGACACCAATGTCAGTCAGAGTGAGAAGGCCAGGGTAGTTTATACCTGGAGAAGGCAGCGAACTGAGCTTACTTACCTGCCCACCTCCCACACTGGCAGGCTGGAAGTGAAGGGTGAATCGGGGAAATACGTAAGCATCTCTATTGCAGATGATAAGATGCTATATCAGAGAGTCCAAAACAAGTGCCCCAGAGCTCTCAGATGTGATAAACACTTTGTGAGAAGTGGGTCTGAAAGGGCTTCTGCGCTCGCTACTTTCCAATTCCATTTTCAGGCCTTTCCTAGGAGTGTTAGCCTGGATTTTGTGTTTGTGCAAAGTTCTGTTTGTTTTTTGTTTTTTTTTTTAAATAAACACTTATGTAGTAGTTTTCTGTGACTTGCATTTTTAATTTTATACTGTGCTTATAAAGAAATAAACTTTTTGTGATTCCTGAAACAATAAGGAACAATTAATAATAAAAAAGGAACAAAACGTTGAAGCCACAAATATATTGTAATGCCAACCCCAGGGATAACCAAAAGGTAAAAACAAAATGAAGCTAGTGATGTGCTTTAACCTCCCTCCCGACCCTACCTAAGGAACTCCCACCCTCTCCTGTAGATTGTTTAAATTCTTTAGGCCAAGAACTGAAGGCAGAAAACCAGGGAAACAAGCCCCCTCCCCTCTATTCCCTGATCTTCCCCCTGCAGGGTAGTCCCCTCAGCTTGACAGCCTGGGAAGGCCTAGAGTGGTGGGTGGGGCAGACAGAATGGCTCCTCGAACAGGAAATGGAGGAGAGGAGTACAGGGGTGTAAGACATGACCCCCCATAGTGGGGGAAATCAAAATGGAGCCCCGGTGCCAGGGGAAAGCACACTGGTGGCCCTGGGAAGGGAGGCCCAATTGCCCCCACATTCTCCCTCCGGGAGCTATCACTGGTTGGCCAACTGCCCATCTGGCTCCGGTTAGAAAACCACACTTGGACAAGGTCCTTCTGCAGCCGGAGGCGCCCAGCAATATAGCTGATTTGCTGGGGCGTCGGCTCTGGACACTGCAAGAACAGTTTTTCCAGATTGCTCCCAATGCGTCTCTCTCTGCTAGCACGTCTCCGCTTCCGGGCCTGCTGCAGGATCATCTCCATTCTGCATATGCCCAGAAGGTTCTTCTCATCTACTTCCTCTAGCCACATTTTCAGCAGGGGTCGCAGCTTCCACATGTTGGCAAGGCTGAGCTGCTGGGCCTCGAAGCGGCATATGGTCGTCTGGCTGAGAACCTTCCCAAACATAGCTCCTACAGCAAACCCCACATCGGCCTGTGAGTACCCCAGAGTCATCCTCTTCTGTCTCAGCTCCTTGGCCAGCTGCTCCATCTCTTTCTGTATGGCCGAAACGTCCTCTGGGAGTGCCAAATTTGGCATATATCTCAGGGCGATATAGGGTCCTGGGTAAGCGTCTTCAGAGGAATTCTGGGACCAGGCCCTTACCTCACCAGCGACATAGGGTGCTATTCCGCCTCGGAATTCATAAGGCAAGGGACCCAGAGGCACTCCCCATACCTCAGGACCTGGACAGATACTTGGCCGCACCATTAACCTGCCTGTGGCTACTTGACTGCTAAACCAGGTTGGAGTGTCAACTCGCATGGGCATTGGCCCTTCTAGGCCACCACTACTATTGCCTGGGAGGGGGTAGACGTTTGAAGATCTGCGCCCAGCCATGGGGTGGACAGCACCCCCAGCAAGAGTCTGGTAGGAACTGATAGCTCTCGAGGCTTCTGAACAGCCACCAGCCTCATCCTCGAGCCCCGCCCCCCAGTGGGCGGAGACAGCAATGCAAGGAAGAGACACTATGGTAACTTACTGAGTCCTTAGGGTTGAACAAGGGGCCTCTTACCCTGCCTGTTGCTTTTAACTCTTAGCTTGGTACCAGTCTGGGGCTTTTACCTCCATGCAGTAGGGTCCCTCAGTGACTCACTACCTGGATCCTATCCTTGCAAGGGACCCAAGCATTGCCTTTGAGCAATGTCTTTTCACACCCTCCAAACCATCAACCATCTCGGTTTCACAAATACTAATTAGCCACATATTTCAGGCCTTGCTGACAGTGTCTGGTCATTCATTAACTACTCCATACCTACTTTGCCAACCGTCCCTTCTGTGCATATCCTCAGTCCCTATGCTTGAAGAAATTTAGGCACACATGCTTCAGTTTCTAACTAGGGCCAGTTCTCTGCCTCAGATTCGAGACTTATGTTCACACTGTGCCACCACACTCCCTTCCTTCACTGGCTTCCCATTCCAAGATTCTTCACTCAATAAATAACAAACTGTCATCTTGGTGTTTTTGTTTTTGTTTTTGTTTTTCCTTCTGGCGACAGGTTTGTGGGATAACATGAGCCGTAGCTGGCCACTGAGAATGTTCCTTGATCCCCAACTCATCAATACCAGGCATTTTGTTCCTGGCCTCTCTCCCACCAGAGATACAAAGATTTTCATTTGTTTTTCTATCATCCTCCTGTCTCAGGCCCCTAACACAGGACCCAAGTGGGGAAAAGAAAGAAGGAAAGGAGAAGAAAAATCCAATAGGTCCAAAGCTTCCAAAGAAGATGAAGTCGCCTTTGGTGGAAGATCTCAGCCCCATGCCCCTTCTTTTATTCTTTAAGCCAAATACAATACAGCTCTCTGTCTAGCCATGTCTACTGAAATTGGCCTTCATGAGGACACGGCACGGATAGCCTTCCATGAATCAAACCCAATAGCATTGTCAAAACGCACATTCTAGGAATGTCCGCTGAGGTGCCTGGCGAGAATACCATCCTCTTTGAGCCTGCTTCAGAGATGTAAATGGGAGGACCCGCTGGCTTTTCCAGCTTGTTTACTCACTCCCACATCTGTATTCCTGCTGGCCCAAAGTAAATTAGTTTTATGCTTCCCCTCCAGAGGCCAATGACATGATCTAACTCAGACACTGAAGTGTGAACTTCAGAGCTCTTCTTCCACTTTATGGTATCGACAATGCTTCAGAAGCTGGATAACAGGCCTTTTGGAAGACCAGAACTTACTGTCTTGCCATGCTTTCCTTATTTATTTATTTTAGACCATAGGCTCTCTCACAGGCACTACAATAATAATCGGTTTGAAAGGCAGTTTCTTATGCTTCACCTTCAGGTTCATCTTTCATATCGCTTCTATAGGTAAGTTTCTAAAAGCAAAACCAAATCAATCCACATCTGAAATAACCAAAGAAAACCTAATGACATCACTTTACTCTTCTATGCTGACAATGAGGGCTGTTCACAGAGCTTTACCCAACTTGGTCCATTATCCCCAATCTCATCTCATGGTCAAGAAGAAATCATTTGTACCCTGTGTGACCTTGTTCATGTTAATCCTGAGATGATTTTCCTGCTTCTTAGTCTTATTACCATTTAGGAGTCTGCTCAGTTATTCTCATTAGAAAAGGATATCCCTGATCACTCTCTGCTAACTACAGTCCCAGCTTCTGCTTTCCCCTCTCATGTATTTTACTTGGTCCTTAGCATGTTCTGTTGTCTCGTGCTTGCCTATGTGCCCACTGCAGGCTTCTTTACTTCTACTTTTACAGTGTCTACTATAGTATCTGGCACACACAAGGTGATCAGCGAATAAAAGAAGTGTGCTGCACGCCTGTTAACTCTAAGACTACAGGTTTGATAGCCTGAGTCTCACCATATAACCCTCGAGATGAGGGAGCACTTGGAGACTAAATCAGACTCAAAACTACAGAAAATAAACTGGAGATGTGGTGGCTTAAAGGAAAATCCCCCCAAAGGGAGTAGCATTATTAGGAGATGTGGCTTTGTTGGGGTATGTGTGGCCTTGTTGAAGGAAGTGTGTCACTGTGGATGTGGGCTTTGAGGTCTCCTATATGCTCAGGCTATGCCCAGTGTCTCAGACCCCTTCCTATTGCCTGTGAGTCTAGATGTAGGACTCTGAGTTCCTTCTCCGGCACCATCTGTCTGGACACCACTATGTTGTACCATGATTATAAAGGTCTAAACATTTGAAAATGTAAGCCACCCAAATTAAATGTTATTTATTTATTTATTGTTTTTCAAGATAGGGTTTCCTCTGTGTAGCTTATTTTTTATTTTTATTTTTAAGAGTTTCTGTGGTCACGGTATCTCCTCACATCAATAGAAACCCTAACTAAGACAATAGGTACGACCTTGAAGTTGTGAATTAGCAAATCATGTGCCATATCTGCAGGCTGAGTATCTGATTTATTTGAAGCTTACCAGTTTCTGCTAGAAAAAGTCTGGGCTAAAGGTCAGATGCTTGTTGCAGTCACTGCTGGATCCACAGCACCCACAGCACAAAGAGAAGAGACATTTATGTATTTGTTTATTTTTGTGGTGCCAGGAGAAGTGTCAACCTACTGTTAAGCAAGTGAGCCTGCACAGCATCAGAGCTGAAAAGACTTCCAGTTTGCTTGAAGTGAATGACAGTCTCTGAACTCCACCTTACAATGTCGAGAATTTTACTAAGGAATAGTTGCGCTGATATCTATTCTTTCCACGTATGCATGCATGCCCCCTTCCCCCCAACTCACAAAGCAACCAGTGTCTGTTAAGGTGTAACAAAATGGAGATAAAGGAGAGACAGCACAATTATACATTAAGGTTTGCATAGAAAAAAGGAAAAAAAAAAAAAAAAAAAAAACACACCTCTCTTGCGCAAGAGAACCAGAGAGAAAAGATTCATTAGGTGTTTAAAAACAATAGTTGAATAGAAGCATTTAAGTGAATTGGGGACAAAAAAAAAAACCAAAAAAACTGATGAGTTCAAATGAATTTGAACTAAGCTTTATTGTATTAAATGAGTTAAAACAAAGTAGTTAAAACAATAAATTTAAAAGTGAGGCTATATTATTAACTCAATGAGTATTAAATTTAACTTGGGTGTTACTTAGTTGGATCTCACTTGCCATTGTGCCCATCTCTTGGTTTGTGCATATGAGGGTAGGGGCACTACACAGTGGTATCTCTTTAAAAGTATGTTTAATACATGATGGAAATAGTATGATTAGAGGAAATAAGAAGTAGTGTATTTGGTTGGCAAAACTGAGATCAGAGGTAGCAACTATGGGAATACCCAAGACAACCAGGGCTGCTTGGAGCATAGACCTTTGGATGCTAAACTATCACCTTCATCAAATATGGGACCTCTCCATAAGTGATTCGATTATGATATAAGAATCAGGTTGTGTTTATCCATGGGAATTTCAGAGAAGGTGTAAGAAGCAGGAGGCCTCAGGCTCTCAGATATTTATTATCTGAATGAGGGAGGAGAGAAACTAGACAGTCAGAAGACCAGGCCAGAGGAATTTACCCGAGAGGAAATTACACCCTTTCTATTAGTATCCTTGGAACTAAGGGTAGTGCTCTGAAAAGGGTGTTTTAAGTGGAAATGTAAATGCACAAAATATGAGGGTTTGTATTCTTGAGTTTTCTTTAAATACCTTATTCTGAGAAAGAAAATGTAATTATCAGGATCCACTGGTTGAGAATCAGTAGATGGTAGAAGACACTTTGGAAATAACTAACCTTGTAGGATGTAGCCCATCTTTTGGGGACATCTTGCCCATGTATTCCGAGATACACCATCTTCCACTCACCTGGACTTTCAGATACATTTGCTGCCCTAAACAATTAGCTGGCGTTTCATGAGGTTGCTTTCCAGCTGGGAGATATGGAAGCTTTCTGGGATTGTGATACAGCTTAATTTGTATGTATATGAAATGTGTTAATGCCTTCATGAGCTATCCACAGTGCTCTGAGGATAGTAGAAAACCAACTGCTTGTGAGGGTAGCTGCTATTCATTTAATGTCATACTGTTATTCAGCTATTTCATTGGCTGGCAAGGTGATGATTGTATATTTCCAAATGTGCCTTTCGAAGTGCTTCATGCTTCAGGTAGAAAAGGGCTGCTCAAGAGTGTACCAAGTGAGGGGCTGGAGAGAAGGCTCACTGGTTAAAAACACTTGGTGGTTTTGCAGGGAACCAGGATTGGTTCCAGCACCCACATGGAGGTTACAGGGGATCTAACCTCCTATTTGGCCTTTGAGGGAACCAGGCATGCACATGGTATACATACATGCACACAGGTAAACACACATAAATGAGAAGAAGAAGTCTGTAAAAAAGTGCATCAGATGAAAATGGAAGTGTCCGGGAAAGGAGGGGGTTAGGAGGACAAGCAAGAGGAAGAAGAGCTGACCCAGGTGTAGGTAACACAGCCAGAGGGGGCTGCATGGAGACTGAAATCAACCACATATTTTGTGCACGCAGTATATGCCAGCAAAAACAGAGTATATGAGAAGCCCTAGTCTTTTAGTAGTCTCGCAAAGAAACCAATCTCTTTTTGAATCTAGTGAAATTATCAGAGCCAGCCAAGAATTATCCCAAAGAAGGACAGAAAAAAAGCAAGGTGGATTGAGTTGTGCTGGTCTTTTGTTTTTCCCACTCGGCAGGCATCAGGTGACTTAGCACTTGTGAGACACCAGGGCATTTGTACACTTTCCCTTAAGAAAGGCAGATTCAGGGGCACAATACCTAGAATGGCCAAGCAGCAATATGAAAAGGAAGCACAGGAGAAAAGATTTGGAGAACTAGTCACAGAAAAGACTCCCAGATCTAAAAAGTGAAGTTAGGATTGGAGAAAACTAACCAAGAACTGTAAAGACAGATTCCTTGTATCGTCCAGGAAATGAATTAACATGGCAGTACAAG